GAGTGTATCATTTGTGTTGAATTAACTAATTCAAAAAGAATACATATTTGTTGAGTAATTATGTCAGACATGATATTAGATTCCTTTTTTTTTTCTCTGTAGGTTCGTGGTGCTTGAACTCAGGGCCTGGGCCCTAGCCCTGAGTTTTTCTTGCTCAAGACTAGTGCTCTACCACTCTGAGCCACAGACTACTTCCAGTTTCCTGGTGGTGGTTAACAGGAAATAAGAGTTTCACAGACTTTCCTGCCTGGGCTGGCTTTGTACTGGGATCCTGAGAACCCAGAGAACTGAATGTCTAGGATTACAGGCATAAGCCCCCAGTGCTCAGCAAGCTAGATTCTTAATGAGTTGGGCATACCAAAATTAAAATGACACTGTACTCTCAGTCGTATCTCTACTGTACATGTAAATTGCTTGTGAGTCTTCATTCTGTTTTTAAAGTGAGGGAGGTGGGGAGGTAAGGGATAGTGGAAAAACAACAATGGAGGGGGTAACAATGCCCAAAAAGAAATGGACTCATTACCTTACTCATGTAACTGTAACCCCTCTGTACAGCATCTTTACAATTAAATAAAATTTTAAAAAGTATAAAAAACAGAGGGAAAATCATCTTCTTGTGAACAAAATTTCCTGGGTTTACTATGCCCAAAATTTGGTATACATATTAATTCAGAAAGTCATTACTACAGCAACTTACTTGGAACACAAGCCACAAAAGCAACAAAACACATTAACAAGTATCATGACCACACTTGGATATGATAAAATGATAGAATTACCAGAAGATAATTTTAAGTGACTATATTTAATATACTAAGGACTCTAATGAAAAGTAGAATAGCATGAAATTTTAGATGGGTAATATACACTAGAAATTTAAGAGATTGTAACAGAAGTGAAGATTGCCTTTGATAAGGCACAGTCGAGAAAAGAATAAAAAAGGTTGAAAGTAAGTCAGTAGAAACTATCTCAACTGAAATGCAAATAGAAAAAAATAAAATTCAGAACAGAATATCTAAAACAAATTGAGAAAATCAAGTAGAATACTCAAAAGACTATGGCTAGGCATGTCATAATCAAACTTTAAAAAGATACAAATAAAAACGTTTAAAAAAACACAGATGAACTGTAACATCTGTAGAGGATAAGAATGAAAAAACTGCATAGAATTCCATTGCATATAATATAGCACATTTTCTTGATCCGAAAGAATGACATTACCCCATTTGTTTGGAAATGGAAGACTTGGAAAAAATTACATTAAGTGAAGTAAGCCAGGGCCAAAGAAACATAGGTCCATGGTTTCCTTTATTTGAAATAACTAGGATATGTCTAGGACAAACAGAAAAGGCAAAAAACTATGTACGTATGACCATATAAAAAACAAATTGTTTAAATAGATACAGGTGGACCCATTGCAACATGAGATGTATAAGACGTTATGTCGAAAAACGAACCTTACAACTTTGGCAGGGGGTGAGGGGGTGGGAAGAGGTGGTAGGGAGGGTGGGGGGGTAGGAGGGAGATGGGAAGGGATGGGAAGGGGAAACAAAGGAGGAGGCAACAATGCTTGATAAGAAATGTACTCATTATCTTGCCCATGTAATTGTAACTCCTCTGTATGGTATTTTCACAATAAAAAAAAAAGAAAAAAAAAGATGATGTTAAGTGAAATGTACCCCAAGATAGGGACATAACTTGTTTTTTCTTTCTTGATATTGTATTTAACATATTCAATGTACTATGTGATTTATTTTTGTTTCTCTTGTATGTACTTCCCCCATGGTATAGCCCCTGTTTTCACTGTATTTGACGTCGGTGCCCTGCATTTTGTATATACATTTTTCTAATTTGGGGAGGGGAAGGGAAATAACAAAATGCTGAAACAAGGATACAGGTTGACCTATTGAAACAATGACATGTACAAGACACTATGTTGAAAAGGAACTTTACAACTTGGAGGGGGAGGGGAAGTTGAGGAGATGGGGAGGGAAGGGAAGAGAAAGGATGGTAGGGGAAAAACAAAGGAGGAGGTAACAATGCTTGATAGGAAATATACTCATTACCTCACTCATGTAACTAACCCTCTATATACTATATTTTTTTACAAATAAAAAACAAAAAATGCATAATTTAGATATAGAAGGATTGTAACTAAACAAAATGAAGACCGTGTATGACAAATCCTTATCATCCTGAATAGGAAAATCTGAAAGCATGTCTCCTATTGTCAAAAATGAAACAAAAGTGTCCATTCTCATCACTCTTATTGAATGATGTACTAGGAATTTTAGCCAGAGAAATTTCGAAAGAAAAATACGGAGTCATACAAGCATGATATGATTCTTTATATAGAGAAAAAACTAAAGACTTTACCAACACATTATTACAACATTATTGGAACTGAAAAACAAATACAATAAAGTATTTAAATAGACCTACAAAAATCGTTAACTTTTCTATACCTAATAATGAACTTACTGAGAAAGAAATCAGGAAAGAAATACCATTCCAAATAGTTACTAAAAATAAAAAGTACCTAAGAATAAAACTGCTTAAGGCTATAAACAATGAAGAAAAAAATGAAGAACACATTACAAGTTGAAGGACAATGGATTTTCATGAGTTAACAAAATTAAAATTGTTAAAATCTCTATAACAGCCAATGCAATCACCAGATTTAATTGAGTAAACTACTAATCACATTATGCAGATAGCTAAAAGAAATCCTAAAATCCATACAGAATCACAGAAAATACCCAAGGTAATCTTGAGCAAAGATGAAGGCCTAATATCTGATTTTGAAACATACTAACAAAGCCATCCTAGAAACAAGAGGATCACATTGGCTTACAAACACACACACATCGACCAATGGAGCAGCATTTAGAACACTCACAAGCAAATCCACATATTTTCAGACAATTTATTCTTGACAACAGTACCAGACAATATATATTTCCCCAAAAAGGGTTGGAAAAATCATATATACTTTAACCAACTGTTGGGAAAACCAGAAAATCACATGTAGAAAGCTAAAACAAAGGTGACCTAAAATTAGAAAGGGTACTCTTAGATGGTGGGAAGAGGGAGAGGGCAAGGAGGGAGTAGGAGAAAAGGTTCAAGAGTGTATGGACATGATTAAAGCATTTTATATATATATATATATATATATGTATATATATATATATACACACATATACATATATATATATATATATATATATGGATGACCTTATCTCAATGAATCACAATAATTTGTTTAAATAATATTTTTCAATAGTTAACCTAAAATCACGTATTTCCTTTGGATATCAAGACATAAATACTCTTTGAATCATTTAGAAGCAAAGAGTTCCGTTATTGGTTATACTAAATGATATATGAGTTATTTTAACAGGTTGGAACCTTCCTCACTTTTCATTTGCTTCAAATAGAGACCACTCTTGAATCTTTGTATTTTATTTCTAGAAAGGGGAAAGTTCTAGTTTCCAAGGGTGAATGTTACATTTTAAAATATAAGGACCAGGATACATATTTTTTCCATTCAGATCATCTTTTTCCTTCATATTTGTTTCAATATCAACTGCTTGTAAAAGCTACTTCTGGATACAGATTAAATGTAAAAAATAAATAGATAAAATATAAATATGTGTATAGACATATTTCCACTGGCTTATTAAAGTATAAGGAGGTAAAATGACAAAGTATCTGAATTTTTCATATGGATAACTATTATACAAAAATTGAAATATGATTGTAAATTATACATGTTTATCATAGTTATGTAACACAAATCAGAGGCTATATGTATGTGGACTGTTAAATCTACAGTATGTTGCATGCATGAAATTTATTATGTCTGACATCAAATATTTCCAAATCTAATTAAATTACTCTCTGTCAGAATAATTCCTATTTGTTAAATAAATTCCATGGAGCAAATCACATTAATCCCAAATATATCACATTTTCCCAACTTACTTGATCATTATAACATGTGTATGACTATTACAGGTTTATTTCTCAAATAAAAGAAGTCTGTTTTAAGTGTATCAGAGAATAATTCAAAGTCTCTTTAAAATAGTTATTGTTCTTTCATTTTGCTATAAATATTTCACACATATAGCTATTTGAAATACCATCAACAGTCTTTCTCATGAATATTATCTTTACATTTTTATTTTAGCTTCTATTCAGCCCCTGATTTTTGTGTAACTACTTTTAATATAGTATATTGTTACTACAACTACAAATTAAAAAGACAATTTATACATGACAAAAAGATTTGGGCATAAGCCTGCATGTTGTAGAATTATTTCTTACCCATCACCTTACCTCATTTGATCCTTGCCAAAACATTGCAGCAAGCAAATTTGATAATCATTTTATACACGAGTAAAACAATGTTCCAAAAGTTGTGATGTATTGATCAAGTTCATGTGGTGTGTGAACTGTGGTGTCTTGATAATAAGAAATGTTCGGAACCATGTTCTCATGTCCTTCCACTTTATCAACCAGATACAGGGATGACTCTGTAGCTACCATTTCACATTATTTGATGATTGTGTATGGACTTACATTATTTTCACATCTTTCAGAGTAGTAAGTAATACAGAAAAAATGTCTTTTCTAATTTGGAGTAAGGCACTATCACAAAGATATATTTCATATAATCCGTTTCACCACTCCATAAAATGTTTGCAAAAAAGATATCACTGCAATATAAGCACAATTTTCTAAAACTATAAACTCATTACTTCAAATACTTTCAAAAGCTAACTTCTCTAAGCATAGTCCTGTTAACTTTTCAAATGTATTTCAGCCAAAATAATTTAAAAGAAAGTGGGATAAATTTCACCTATAGAAATACACTAATCATTCCATTCAGGACTTTTTTATGCTTAGGTAAAATATTTAAAACATGAACTTACAGTTGCCAAATTAATATAATCAGTAACTTCATTAAAATTAGATGATATATTGAAGATATTGATTACCTGTAACAGTTAATTCAGTAGTTCTCCTTACAACAAAGCCTCCATATTTTAATTCACATGTATAATTTCCAATGTCATCTTCTCGGACTTCTCTTATAAGCAATGTGTCTCTTTTAAATACAATGCTTGGCCTCCATGTTTTCGTCCTACATTCCTATAGGAAGAACATAGAATTTAGATAGTACTTACAGTAACTGAAAAATATGGTATGGTGTCACTAAACCAATCATATTTAAAGTTGCCTTTTAAAGGGAATAAACATTTTCAATTAATGCTAAGTAAATTTATTTATCTTTAAAGCCTTTGGAAGTCATGTACCTGAATTTGAAGAGAATTTTTAGAAAGAGTCATATTACTAATTTCTCATACAGATTTATATGAGACTTACATACATATGTATTTATACTGAATACTTACATATCAGTTATGTATTGATTTATTAGATATTAGAATAAAGATGTTGGTTGGGCGCCGATGTCTCACACCTGTGTCCTAGCTATTCAGGAAGCTGAGATCTAGGGATTGCAGTTTGAAGCTAGCCCCTGCAGAACAGTCTCCAATTTACCACTCAAATACCAGAAGTAGGGTTGTGGTTCAAGTTGTAGAGCACTAGCCCTGAGCACAGAAAGGCCCAGGGACAGAGTCCAGGCCCCATGTTCAAGCCCCACAACTGACCAAAAACAAAAACAAACACAAAACCAATAACATGTTAAGTACTACGAACATTATTTTAAACACTAATACTTTATATTTGATTATTGAAAAATTAACCACACTGATATTAATACTTTGAATACATATTATTTGAATTTAAATTAGGAAAACAGTTATATAAAATAAAATGCTATTTTAATATTTTAAGTGTCATATTTAATACATTTAAGTCTGTTCATGTCACGTATATTATACTCCTTGAAAGAAATGAATAACATTTGTGTGCAAAGTCTTTAAAATTTCATGGATATGTATTGTCATTGTTGATAGCCCTAACAAATTATAATCTCTGAATTAAGCTTTGGATTATGATGCCATTGGCTCATAGATTTCTGTTTGAGCCAAAACAGAACTCCGTATCCTCTAGCCAGATTTACAATCAATGGAATGAGAATAAAATAGTCTTAAGCCCTTTGATATGATTGAGTGGTGTAGTATTTCTAAAAATTTTATTGGCAAATCGGATATTTTAGACTGTGATTTTATGTGGCTTAGTTCCTGCTCTGTGTAATTGTGTGTGGAGGTGATTACACGGTTATTTTAGATTAAAAATCTACATTTTATTTGCTCATAACAGTTATATAAACCCTCATAATTGTGTAAATTGAGTACTGAATGTTTAGAATCTATACTTAGCCAGGTTAATTATTTTGCAGTATTCTACTTTAGAAGTAGCTTTTAAATCTCATCTTTTCAATACTTGATAGATTATATGTTGGCTATGGAAAAAATAAAATGTCAGAAAGCTTTTAAATTCTACATACACTCTATCTCCACCCACCATTTCATTATAATGGCCTTTATAGCTTAAGGTCAAAATGATTGTGGTGATGACAGAAATCTGATTTAAGAACCAGTATGAGACCAGTTATTTTTTAATTACGTATCTGTGAGGATATGTAGTCACTCATCATTCAGCAAATTTTGAGATTCTCTCTGCAAAATGATAATAAATGATACACAGTTCTTAAAACCAACTTGTTAGCAAACAGTGAAGAAGTTGTATATATCAACACTGAATGTCTACATCTGAGAATTTGAAAAGTATTTGCTTTTAGAAATTTTGTGCTCAATTGCTCTAACACAATGCCCCCTCGAAGTTTTATTAAAAATCTGCTTGTGGAAGACAGGCCAATAGATTTCCAATGATTAGCAATACTAAAGTATAAACAGGGAAAAAATAAAGCATTGCACAGAACTGAAAACAGTTTGGGGTGGGTATTTCAGAGCCATTAACATCTAGGATAAAAAAAAGACCAAAGGGGGCTGGGAAGGTGGCTCAGTGGTAGAGCGCTTGCCTTGCATGCATAAGGCCCTGGGTTCAATTCCTCAGCACCACATAAGCAAAAAAAAAAAAAAAAAAAAAAAAAGCCGGAAGTGGCTCAAGTGGTAGAGTGCTAGCCTTGAGCTGAAGAGCTGAGGGACAGCACCCAGGCCCAGAGTTCAGGCCCCACGACTGCACCTAAAAAAAAAAAAACCAAAGGACAAACTGAAAAAAAAAATACGTCAATACTTTCCTTACAAGCTCTGAATTCTTACAAACTTACTGAAATGGGGACACTGATTAATTGTGGCAAAATGTTTTTAAAGTTGCTAAGATTTCTTGTTTAATTTCTGATAAGAGAATTATGAGTAATTACTTTTAAGAGTTAACATTTTGATATTGGCATTTGTAGACTAGTAATTAAAAGGCTAAAAATTTTAAGGTCCTATTTTCAGCAAACTATACAGTAAAATCGTTAATCCATACAGAAAATACCCTATGGTTTTATTTTTATCACATCTATACTCTGTGTGTGTGTGTGTGTGTGTGTGTGTGTGTGTGTGTGTGTGTGTGTGTGTGTGTGTCTGTGTGTGTGTGTCTGTGTCTGTGTGTCTGTGTCTGTGGTGGTACTGGGGCTTAAACTCAGGGTCTGGATTGTGGACTGTTCCTTAGCTTTTGCACTCAAGGTTGGGGCTCTATTATTTGACCTACATCTCCACTTCTGGCCTTTTGTAGGTTAACTGGAAATAATGGACTCATGGACCTTTCTGCCTGGGCTGGCTCCAAACCATGATCCTCGAATCTCAGCCTTCTAAGTAGCTTGAATTACAGGCATGAGCAACAAGTACATAGCTATACTGTTTCATTCAAGATGAAAAAAATCTTATGCAGCCTTGTACACTTAAAATTTAAATAATTAGAATGTCAGTTAAAATTAATGATGTGATAGATAAAAGGAGGGTAGATTATTTTAAGATGAAATGATTTTTGTCTTGAAGATAGTCTGATAGTATTTTACAATGTTAAGAAATTTCTCAGATAATGTTTCTTTAAGATGAGTATGTTTATATATTAAAACTTTTTTTAATATGAACAAAGTTGTTTCCATTAAATAGAATGTTTCATTTAAAATAGTTTGCCACCTTAATTTGGGAATATTTGTGAACATTATGGACTGCTAATATAAAGAACCCTAAAATGAGTGTTCAACATAGTTTAGTTCCAGAAATCATCAATCTCAACTATAATAGATGCAGAAAAAGTTCTACAACAAATAAACAGGAAAATTTTATTATAACAGAATACCTATAATAATATTTTACTTATTAAAACCAGTGATTTTTAAAAACAGCAAAACTTGTCAGAACATTCTAGGAAGATCGACCTTAACTATATCCCATCAATCTAATTTTTTTCCTATTTCTCCCAGAATATGACTCACATTAAGCTATTTATAAACAATAAAATCATCTATAATTGATACCTTATACCAAAGGATTTCAGGTTCTTTGGTTGGTAGCAAAAAGTCCTCTATGTCACGGCATGAAATCTCCTTGCTTTTGCTAAGTTCAGCTTTTTCAAAATACTTCATCTTAGAATTGTAGCAGAGTCCAGTGTCATTTTCTCCCACTGTCAGTGAGATGGATACTTTCATACAATATGTAGAGTTCCTGTAACAAAGCAGAATAAATATGGTGACCTACTGTGAACAAAAAGTGAGTGCTTCCAAGGGAGTGAATTTAACTCATTCAGAATAAAAAGAAGTAAAGTCTCCATTGTGTAACTGATTTTATTCTATAGGGTTGCCTCTTGTCAGGAAACCATACAACACTTTGTCCACCATGTTTATTACATTTTCTGAGAAAAAGAAACAGTCATAAAGCCAGGATCAGTTTGAAAAGTGTTCAAGATATTTTTATCTAGGAAAATAGAATAAAGGAAGAGTTAGGTTGGGAAGGAAATCATGCTTAAATTTCCGCTAAAATTGGCAAACTCAACAGAGAAGTAAAATGTAGCTGACCTATTAAGTACAATGGAAGGACAAGAATAATTCTGTCCAGCTCTTACAATAGTGGTTGCCATGGTAAGAGTTAAAGTTATTGATGCATCTAGGCAGGAAGTAATATTTGATAAAAGTATTGAAACATCATACTTTTTAACTGTCCATATCCATTTGGTTTGAGACTGGGATACCATGTTGTCAAGAGAAGCATTCTACCATGTTACATAAGGACAATTCCTTCCTGATAGATTCTACTGAATCAAATCATTAAATCAACATCTTATATTTACTTTGCTGGATCCTAGATCAGGTTTAGAACTTGGAATACCCGAGAATAGAAATCATGCTCAGATATTATTTTGGAAGAGCTCTGAATAAATGAAATTTTAATATAATTCATACCACTTCTGCTTGCTATTTAAGTGTCTGGACATTGAATGAACTCTGAAAGTATATAATGTATTGTACTAGGGTAGAAACTGAGAAAAGAATAAAATGCCAGATTCACAATTTTTAAAAAAATAGTCATTTATTAAGTGTCCAACTGCTTGTTCTTTATTTGAGTCTCATCATTGGGCCACAACAAAGCCAGAAGACAAGTAATTTAGAAATAAGTATCTGAGTTATTCAGTGTTATACACGGAATAACAAAATAAACATTTGTGAAAAATCTGAAGAATTTTAAGGAATGTAGACATCTCTATTTTCTTATACTATCTAGTGAAAAAGTGAATCTAATATACTTAATAGGCAAACCCATTAACCATTTAATATTAGTCAATCTCACAAAACATCTCTAAATATATTTTCAAGGATTTTTCTAGAATAATAAAAATAGATTTCCTGTCCTCAGCCTCTCAGAATTCAGGAAAACATGTACAAGCACACGATTGAAACTTGTGGGTAGGGGCAGGAGGACAAGACTGGGAGAGAGAGCAAGGGAAGGCAGGATACTGTTTAAAAAGAAATGTACTCACTACTGATTTATGTAACTCTAACCCCTCTGTACACAATTTTTACAATAATTTTTACAATAACAATATATAAATAACATATATATATATATATGTAAAGAGAAAGAGATAACCAAAGTGATTTCAAAGAAAGAAAAATGAAGGCCTCATACATGATGAGATTTGAATTGTCTTGTAAAAGGGAATGAAAGTTTAACAGTTACTCAAATGCATTGTACACATTAGTGGACATGCTAAAATGAAATGTTGGACAAGTATTTGAAGTAAATAACAAAAATAATATTTTTGAATTCTGAAGAGAGTTATTTTAGGCAACAATATGCACAAAGGCTAGAAGAAATGAAAAACCTTAACAAACTGCAAAATTCCTTAAGAGACCTTGGTTTCAGAAACTATAGTTTGTCTATGAAATATATATAAAAGACCAGTAACTAGAAATATGCACAAGCATCAGGCTGAAAGTCAATATTGGGACTTTATATTATAGTATGATAAAATATGGATTGTAGAGAAGATTTCCCTGATTGTTATGAGAAAAATGGATTGTATGGAAAACAAGACTAAATGAAGTAGAACAAATTGTAAAGCAACTGCACTCATTTTAGAAAATATGGTGACTCCAAAAGGGTACTCTTTATTGGGTGGAGGTAGTGAAGGGGTTCATATTCAAAATATATTTAAGAAATCAAACCAATATGACAACAAGGAAGCAAAGGAACAGGTATGAAAGATGCAGAACTTTTTTCTTAGTTGAGCATATGAAAGGTAGAGGAAATCTTTCAGCATGGAAAATAATGGAAAAGAAACATCTTTGAGAAAGAATAAGGTATGTTAAATTTTACTTCTAGCTTCACACTGAAGTGAAAAAGACAGCCCTTTTAGGGCTTGCCAGCAATATTTCTCATGCATTATTTATTAATTTTATTCTGCTATAAACTAGAGCATGTTCTTTCCAGGCTCTTTGTATGATATTTTTGTCAGAAACGAATTATATAAGTTAAAGTATTAACTATCTTAGCACACATTGAACAACACCTTAAGAAAATATTTACGCTTTAGAATAACACCTATTTTTCCAATTCTTTAGAATTTTTAAGGAACCAAGAACTTTCTAGGAAATAAATCAATACATTCTTAATTTTGAACCTTCCACATAAATCTTTTAGATCTAAGCATCTCAAGTTTTTTGCTATATGAACTGTTTGTTTTGCTTATGTGTTGTAGCATATCATATTAGATACCAGATAATTTTTATACAAGAAGGATAGAGGAAGAATTCCCAAATGTCAGTAATCAGATTGCAACAAAATTACTCATAATTTTTGAGAACTAGACACTAATACTTGGATTTTAGGCCTCTTTTCACTCATTTGTATAAGGAAAAAGACACTAATACTTGGATCTTTAGGCCTCTTTTCACTCATTTGTATAAGGAGAACATAATATTAAAGACTAAAACGTGTAAAGTGATTAGAATACTACCTGTCTTTGAGTGGGCGCTCAGTATGTGTTCCACCTTATTATTAGCATTGTTTCCTTTATTCTCAAATCTTTTTTTCCGTTTTGCGGCAAAAAAACACTGTTTTTTTTGATGATGCCTTCCATTCTTTGATATGTAATTAGTGTGAAGCATAGAAAACCAGGTAAGTGTTTTTAATTTTCACTTGGGATCTCAGAGTGGGATGGACAAGAATGACTGAAGTTGAAGGGAATTCTGGATTCTAATCATTGCACATTTTCTTTTTATACATTCAAGTGACCCTTAATCTCCAGAAAATGGCTCCAGATGACTTACCCTTGGATCTACTCATTTATCTGCCTTTTTAATCTCTAGCTGATTTGCAACTGTCTGGTAATGTCTAGAAATTCAATCTCCACAGGATAGCACTATTTTCAAATTACTTTCAATGTTTTAATGCATGTTTACTGTTTTTGTTCATCAGGAGGTGATTTAGAAAGCTAAAAATAAAGTAATATTCAACCAATGCTGTAGTCCTATTTACTGTTAGAGCTAATAGGAAGCAAGCAACTTATGACACATTAATAAACAAATGATACCCTAGAGGAGAATTTACACACTCAAAGCAAAGAATGAATTCCACAACCATCAAACTTGTGGTATGATGGCTATGAATCTGCTGTCAGGGAAACAAAGTGGTCTGTCATAGATGGGATAGGGAAAGTGCTCCTACAGGACTTACGGTAAAATCATTAGCACTTATTTATTTGGCTTCTTTTGTTTATAACAGATGGGATACTGTCTAGGCAAAAAGTTGAATCATGACTGCTTGTTTCAATGCTTATAAAATGGCTAGCAAGACAGGACATACATTCATGCAGAGAGAACAGAACTGTTTATATCTGAGAGTCGTCACAAAATTATCCTTTTCAGTGAAGAAAATATTAATATGAAATTTATAGAAAGGATCTCACTTTCTCTGACATGGGTAATAATATAAAACATAGCAAGTATAGACAAGGTATTGTACAAACAACTCAGTTATTTCTTTCAATGTCTTGATATTATAGCAGAGAGTTCCAGTGACTAAAGAAATCAGTTTATTGTCCAAGTTCTATTATCTAATTTGTGGCAGAAATAGGATGGGAAGTCAGACATATAAATTGTAATTTATTGGTCCCCTTTACAAGCTAGTGGAAAATATTTGCACTGGTTTAATATATATAAACTTTCTATATATCATAGATGTATATAATCTCAATAAATATGTGTTTACATTTATATATATAGTATATAAATATATATAATATTTATATATAGCTAGAAGTATTTAAAATAAAAGAAATTTAACTACCTCTTAGTTCTAAATTATCTATATATTATTTTATATTCCAAAACATGGATGTCTTAAGAAAAACCAAATAAGATACAGTCTGGATTTTTGTGAAAACTTAGGCCTAAAATCCAAGAAGGCTAAAATGGAGTAAGTTGCAGGTCTTTTTCTCCTTCTATGGATATACAATATTACATATTTGTAAAAATAATGATTAGCTTGGCATTGAGTTGATTTAGAAAGGAGAAGAAAATTCCTACTCAATTTCAGTAAAAGAATTGGGAACTAGTACATATATTTTGTTAAAAATAAGAAAACAATAAGTGATTACAAATAAAATAAATAATTCCTTGAGGACAGATACTGGAACTGAGTAGTATACTGTGAAATCCTCTATAAATTTTAAGTCAAGTGCTACTTTGAAAGGGAGGGAAATTTTTAATTGGATTCTGACAGAGATTCTCAAATTTTGTTTCTGAAAGATGACTACCTTGTCATAAATACAGACTAAAGTGTGGAAATTTGGGTAGAGCAGATAGGAAGTCAGGCAGAAAATTCTGTGTGTAGGGGAAGATATTTTGTATATATCTCATTAGCTCAGAAAGTGTATTAAAAAGCATTTTATGCAATGTCTTAGTATAATAGGTTACAATTATTCTCTAATCACACCTAATATGTAATATTTGGTCTCTCTTTTCCTCCAACTGAATTACCACTAACAAAATGGATAAACTACATACTCTAACACCATCACTAAAGAGTTGACCTATATATTATGTTAATTCTCTCATTCCAGAGGGAAATGATAACATTTCCATAATGTTTGACCATTTTTTAACTTCATGACGTGCTAAATAAGAAAGTCAGAGATTTGATCAATGCTTTTAGAAGATTAAGTCATT